GTTTAAATGTTTTTTAAATCTTTTATTTAAATTCATAATGCTAAAAAAAAGGTTAAGACTGAAAGTTTAACTTACTTAACAAAAAGAAATGGACTTTTTATCAAACACTTAGATCTGTCATAATGATGTCCTACCATGACTCAGCAGTTTTTATACGRTAGTGTTTGGTTTAGGTTGACAGAATTTCTCATATTTGCTCCAAAGGTTTTCAAACATCTTTACAATAAGTTAAGAACAATTAAAAACTGTAAAATGACCATCGTCCTAATGACAAAGTTCTAATTCGGTCCGTCCCAGGTGGTCCAGTCTCCGCATGTCACCCAGCAATGCTTTCTGTGGCCCCGCCTCCAGCCGCAGTRCCATCACCCATGGCTGGTCCTCCAGCTCCGCCGCCGCCCCCGGGACCACCACCCCCGATGGCAGTGCCTCCGCCCATGCCCCCTCCACTGCCCACTGGTGGAGGGCCTCCCGGGGGTCCGCCCGGGGTCCAGCACCAACCCTCAGGACTGGCTGCTGCGCTGGCTGGAGCCAAACTACGTAAAGTGCACAGGGTGAGGTCATGACCCGCTCAGGTTTTTGGTCGTAATCAGGAGAGGGTACCCTGATGGTAAAAAGGTGTTGATGTTTCCTCCAGGATGAGAGCAGCCCCCCCGGCTCAGGAGGGAAAAGTGACTCTAACCGGTCGAGCGGCGGCAGCGGCGGCGGTGGGGAGGGACTGATGCAGGAGATGAATGCCTTACTAGCTCGCAGGTAAAAACACAATTAGCCTTAATAGAACAGATTTTAGCTCATTTTTCTCCTGCTGTAAACGTTTTACTGAACGAGAACAATAACTGTTCCTTTTTATCCACATTACAACCCACTGAAAATGCTTGAAATTTGTAAATTATTGTTGRTCACATCCTTATTTCCTCCTGCTCRTTCTCTTAGACGAAAAGCTTCAGAGAAACCTGAWGAAGTAAGTTATGTGTTTAAACAGGGAAGTGGACGAATGTAATTAAATCGTGAGAGCTGGATAATAAAATCAACCAATGTCACATCTGTTTAATCATCYGCAAGSTGTTAAATATAAAACTTCAGAGRGGTCCTGACAGCTTTAAACCCTCTTTAAAACATCAACACAGCSAACTGCTTTATACACCACCTGGATTTAACTAAGCAAATATGTCCAAACGTAAAATATGTAAAAACGTGCTGAGGTGGGAGTGTTGTTATTCTGTATACAGCATTTTCATAACGGAGGGTAACTGTTACTTGATTGAGGTATAGAGTTAAACTCTMCACCTAGAAAATACATAATATCCCCCCTTAATTGTTTAAATATGTCTTCTAATCTAAGTATTTTGATTATTTGGCTTTTATTTGTCCTAACTGGTATGGGTCTGTCTTGCAGGATGAMTCAAGTGGTCGAGGTCAACAGAACTCAACAGGTAAAGATTGACCTAATCTGGAGATTATAATGTCCACAGGATTTCAAAATGCAGCTCTCTTATTGCCACATTGAAGGCATAATGTCAAAGTTGTCAGTTTCTTTCACTCAGGACTGTAAATAATATACTGTATGTAAATAATATATATATATATTCTCTACAGTCCTGTTGTCAGTTACGTCATCGCATCTGTGTCAACAGGGCTGTGAGTGCAGAGACAACTGAGCAGGAGGAGTTCCAAATATAATGAAGAAATATAGCGTTTTAAAACACTTATAGAGAGAATAAATCCTCGAAATTTCTGCAAAATAAATGCTGTAGAAATTACATTATCTTTGCTTTTTATGATCATTTTCTACCGCAATACATACTGTTACCATGAAGGGATTCAATTTATACRGTGATATGAATTTGAGGTTATACCGCCCAGCCTTAATTCTCAGTGGTTAGAACCGGTGCCTCACAGCAAGAAGGTTCTGAGATCGATCCCCTGTTCAGACCAGGGTTTCGTACTCCGGTTTCCTTCTGCAGTCTGTAAACATGCATGTTAGGCTGCCTTCAGAACCAGGCCTTCCTCTCAAAAGAGGGAGGTTAAATAAAGGTAAATAAATAGATTTCGTATTTGGACAACGTTCTCAAAAAAAATGTGCCTGGTCTGTCTGTACGACCTGCCGTGCCGAGGCCAAAGAGTCTGAACGTGTTAAACAGCAAAGAAAATAAGTGTGGCTACAAAAACAAAAGAGCTGCGATCTCGAGTGCTGCAGTTTGAAATCCTTCATAGAATTTGTTCTTTCTTTGCCAGATGCTCTGAAGAAGCCATGGGAACGATCCAACTCTGTAGAAAAGTCCTCACTGGTGTCCAGGTGAGCAGAGAGGAAGAGTTGTGAAATGAAACAATTCAGTGACGACTGATCAAACACAAACCGAACCTTCAGCGTTTTATTGTCTAAAGAGGAGCTTCTGATTTCAGAGTGAGGCCGATTGGCAGCACCAGTGAAGCCGACACAGAGTTCGACAGGATGAAACAGGTTCTCGTATCGTTTTTTATGATCCGATCGAGCAAGAGTCTGTCGTTTCTCCGTCTCACTGTGCTTTTCTRCTCGCCGTGCAGGAAATTTTGGACGAGGTCGTGCGCGAGCTACACAAGGTGAAGGACGAAATCATCCACGGTGAGCAACGCGGCGAGTTGTTTCTCAGRTTGTCTTCTTTTCCCCCTAAAAGCGCCTTTTCCCCCCCTCTTTTCCTTGCAGCCATTAGACACGAAATCGGCAGAATCGGTACGTCCTAATCTCACCTGAGCGTGCATCCGTGATGGGGAGGAGAGCAGCAGGAGGAGCTGGTGGAGAACAGAAAAAAAAAAGAAAAGAAACGCGGATGCACAGACGCGAGGACCCCCCAGGGAATGTTCTCTCAATGTTTCTGTGACATCGCGACGCCACGCTGCAAGTTGCAGAGACGTTGTGCCAACATTTAAGTCTGCTGGACAGCACAAACAGACATGAGAGAGCAAGGATTCATGGGGAAAAAAAACTGATGTGTGGAATAATTTAACTAGAGGATGAAGTACGAGTGGAAGCGGACAGACTTTTGTACTGAGTTTGGTGTTGTGGTCCTCTCTGTGCACCTAGACTCAGTCAGCCCAGTGTTGCAGCTTTTTGTTCTCTGTTCAGTCCACTTAAGAAAATATTTTGGTTTTCTAAGTTTTTATTGTTTTATTATTTAAAAAAAAACTGTGGTGATCATGATGCTGTCGGTGAGTATTTTATTGATATTAGAGAAGGACAAAGGAAACTTGCACATCATTATTCTAAAGCCTTTTCTATTTTCTATTATTGCTCTTTTTTTCCTTAGTTTATCCCTAACTGTTTCATAAGAAGCACAATATGGGCATATTGGTGCTGCAGACCCACCTGCCCTCAAACGGCGTATTTAAAAACGTTTTCTAACTTCGCTCAAACCGGTGTTGTAGGTCTCATCGTTTTCTCTGCACACACGATAAAGAACTGCTTCATATGCCTTGTACCTCCTTCATCCAAGGCAAAACACCAAAAATGAGTCTCTTTTTCGACATACAGCKGTCTGCTCCATGACTCCAGTGTGACCGAAGCTCGTACGTGTTCAGATGCTGTRAAGATCATTGAAATCTGTGGGGGTCGTTCAGAAAAAAGGCTGATAACTGTAAATGTGCCACCTGGTTTTACCCACATATGGAACAAATGTATTATCTATTAGTCATCCTATGCTTTGTGAACCTCCCCAGTATGCATGAAAACCCTGTCTCTATGAATTTGTTTTCTATTTTGTTCAAAAACGAACAATTGACAATAAATATATCTTAATGGTGGTACATTTATTTGAGTGGTTTGGTGTACGATTTTACCGTCTGAGACGCCTCATGTCGAACAGCTCGTTCATTTTTTATGAAAGATTTAAAAAGAAATTTTGCACACTGATCGGCCATATTAAATCTGCTGACAGACAGTGATGGGCACAGCTAACCAGTTAGCTTAGCTAACTCAAGCCTCGAACTCAAAATACAGCTTTGCTGATGCTAAACATGAAAAAATTAGTGGAAGCCAACACCGGCTAACCGCTAAGACAACTGACACAAACCTGTTAAAACCTAATTTAGCAAAAGATAATTGGTCCTAAGTTTGTGAAAAAGCTAATCTGCTAAATGTAACATTAGCACCACTGTTAGCTGATCCTTATTGCTATTTAATCTAGGGCAGGTGGGCTGTAATTTCTGACTGAGCTCAGTGAGCATTATGTTGCACTCAAAGTGGGTAAAAACTAACAAAAACACAAAGCTTAGATTTTTTTYTATTGTTTCTGATAAGTACTGATTTGCTGTGTACTTGGTGCTAACTTTGTTTCATGGTGTATTCAGGGATGAACAGGATGCTTCTTCGGCTGAGGATGAACCAACAGTAAAATAATTTAAAAACACAGCAACACAAACTCAATGGGACACTTTATTCATATAAAAATGTAACCAGAAAAAAATTTATTTGTTACAGCTTTAGAAAATAACTTTTTTTTTTGTAAATGATCCCATTACTGTTCGGTTCTTGAAGATGATTTCAAACTTTCTGCAGCACATCGGAGCTGCAAACCGTCACAGAAGAAAAGGCTTTTCTTACTGGCAAATAAGTTTTAATGCTCCTTTTCCTCTTCAGCTCTGTTCTGCGTGATGAATGTAAAACAAAGCAATGGTAATCGTCCATGAAGCTGTTTTTAAAAAGGGTCTGACGAACGCTTCCAGGCAGGAACGCACCGTGGCACCTGTCTGTCAGACGTTATGAAAATGCACGTGACCTTGTGTTCTCAGATTCCACATGATGAATCGGTATATTTTCTTTCAGGTTTCCTTCTCATTCCCTTCTGGCMACAAACAAATGTCGCAGTCGCAAATATTGTGGCAGCAGGCCAAGATTTTTTTAAAGCAGGTGCTACAAAAAGAAGAAAACTATCCAGACTAATAACATTCAATTAGCACTTCAAGGAACTGTGCACACTTGTAACTATTACACAGATATTAATTAACTATAAAGTCAATCAGGGACAACTCAAGCTAAATGCTGAACATCTTGTTGGGTTTGTTTTCAGTGGCATCACATCAAGTGGAGGGATAACAAACGAACATTCATACATTAAACTGTGGTTAAATGACATTTAACAAGACACTTCTCTGTAGAAATATAATCACACGTTTATTCCTGCTTGCTCAGCTTGTACTCCCGCTTGATTCTAGCGTACGGACCGATGCTGTCGTCGAAAACGAAGTCCCACAGCACTCGGCTCCAGGAGTTGTACTGGGGCAGGGAGTCGTAATACTCTGCTGCGATCTTTTTGACCTGCCGACAGGAAAAACACAGACAGGCGAGGTTAGTTACTATTATCTGACATCTTACCTGCTCACCCTGGCTCTAAATGAGACCGACGTCATTTTCCATCAGCCACCCCTGAACAGTATTAGAGGGAAAAAAAGACTCAACGTTTAAAGGTTCAGATAATAGAAGCATTTCAGCCAAGGTTATAATAGTTTTGGATTTTTCATTATAGTTTATTATTTCATTGTGATCTTTTTTCTTTTAATTCAGTTCATTTTAATTAGTTTTTACACTGGATTTGCTAGTTTTTTTTAGTTATTATTGCATTTTTAATGCTTAGTTTTAGTTTAATTTTTATTAGTTCTAATATTAGATTTTTTCTAGTTTATTTGCCAATGCATCCTCAAGCTTGTGATGTTCCTGTGAGMTAACTAACCAAGAGCTACTTGGTCGCTAGTTAAAGCAGTCCCATTATAACGAAAATAATTACYTTACTCAATTTTTGCCAACGAAGGACTTYGATTATTTTAGGACGATGACAATAGCTGTCTCCAACCCGGTGCTACCTGTTGCTTGTTTTTCATGGTACTGAGAGAAGATAGTGTCAAGATAGCTACAGTTAGACATCTTGTGTGAGCTTGATTCATGCAGTTTTTCCCTTGAGAAGTATTCCACCTATTTTATCACATTTCCACTAGAAGACACTTGCTTTGATTTTTCTCGCAGTCATGTTCAACGAAATCCCAAAGTGGACTTTCTCCCAAGTTTTGTTGTCTTTTGGCAGGCGATGCTGAGCAGCAGATTGTAAACAAGTGTCGTTACGGCCCACAGCTAATGTGAAACTACACGATTTGAAAAATAAATAAATAGATAAATAAATAAAACGATCCACATGGCTCAAAATAAAATTAACACTAAAACTAAGGATATTCTTTCTACAATTTCATTTAGTTTTAGTTAGTTTTGTAAAACATTTATACAGTTTTAGTTAATGTTTTTTTAATTTTATTAAAGTTTTTATTTATTTCAGTTAACTAAAATGTTTTTTTCAATTTCAGTTTTCATTATTTAGTTAGTTTTAGTTAACTATAATAACCCTGGTGTCAATTCAAGGCGGGGCTAAATGTGGCACGAGAGAGCTTCAAAAATAAGAGTACGCTGCTTTAAAGCTGCCATTGAACATAAACTACATCTCCCATAATGCATGCTGATTATTTTACCTGCAAAATGACGGCATCCCACCACTATGGAGGTGCACAGGGTTCAAAAGCAGCTGGCAGAAATTGTCTGCAGAAAATCTGTATTTTGCAGGCTGTGGTCCAGGATTTCCCAATTGCATCAATTTAAACTGAAACGGTGGGAATTCCACGTTGGAAAGTGGGAGAGTTCAAGACAGCAGCTACTCACCACAACTCAACAGGGGGTAAAGATCACAGAGAACAGCAACTTTGTAATTTAAAAAATACTGAACCACGGGATCATTAAAGTAAGTTAACTGAGTTTGTTTCATTTGGTACGAGGCACGGTCCACTTCAGTTGAGACGAGTTCTGCTTCACGCCTCTTTTGGTTCCGCCCTGCCCGGTTCATTTCTGAACGGGAACTGGCCGGCTTCACTTGTGATTTATAAACAACCCGAGAGAGCTTAAAGACGGACTGGTCTGTGCGGCCACTTCGTGGAACTGTCTTGTGAAAGAGGCTATCGTTTGACACCCCCTGGTCTCAAGACGTAAACTGGAACTCACCTGAGGTAGTTTACTGCCAGGTATGCTGGGGAAGTCATGGTGCTCCATGTGATACCCCACGTTGAAGGTGATATGGTTCAGTGGTCCGTAATATGAATACGTCTCGTGTCCCTTCAGGAACATGTAATGCTCCGATATGAAATGTCCAGAGATGGGGTGCAGCCCCATGCCCAGAATAGATCCAGCGATGAGGTAAATAACTGGCTTCAACCCCCAGAAATAATAGAGGATTGCATCCGCTGCGAGCTGAACCACTGTGTTCTGGATTTCCAGCGTACCCACTGGTTTCGGATTGACCACCAGCGGTCGTAGGGTGTAGAAGAGTGGCTGGAGGAAGAGCCAGAGCACCTTCCGGGCCGGGGTGCAGAAGAACCATCCCTCAAAGTCCGTCGGGATGTCAACGTCCAGCTGGTCTCCGCCCAGGTAGCGGTGGTGGTCGATGTGGTACTTCTTGAAGGAGGCGGAGTAGGGCACGCCGATGGGCAGGTTGGCCCACATGGCGAACCAGCGGTTCCACTTGGCCCACTTGTTCCCAAAGGCCACGTTGTGGGAGATGTCGTGAATGGCCAGAGTCAGGGAGTGGTTGACGCAGCCTCCGAAGGCGTAGGCCCAGAACAAGACCCACTTCCAGGAGAGATCGTGGACCAGGTAGCAGGCGAGAAGTTGGGTTAGGACCATGCCAGAGACCACCCACTTCAGCTGGGGGTCTGGACCCATCAGAGTCTTGATCTCTGGATATTTGGCTGAGAAAGAAGGAGAACAACGGATGAAAACACAAGTAACACGGCACCGTTTAACACAAAGCGCCTTCTTCTAAAGGAGGAGAAGGCACAGTGSGACGTTCTGAGGTACCTGCCCGCCTCGTGGGAAAAACCTGCTGACAAAAGTCAACTTAATTGGCAAAGGTGTTGTTTTGCTGGAGAAAAATGACACGCTGAGAACAGATTGCATCATGTGGTCTAATCTGCTCATTAGGACACGCAAGTTCAGATTTGTTACGCAGACCAGACCTTATAGACAATGTAATGAAGGTGGTCAGAAGAACAGGTCAGCAGGAAGACTTCAGCAGACGGTGGGCAGGAGAACATCTCATCATAGATCAGAGGCTGCCATATGCCATCAGGGGAAAGTCGCATGCAAATATGACTTGCCGTTTTGTTTACAGCTTGCCCTGCTTAACGCCTCCATGCAAATTTCAGCTTACGATAACTGAAAGCTGAAGAGGCCCATTCAGTGGCTTACTGCCTCTGCTTCATGAGCCAAACCCTCATTTTACCGATTAATGCTTAACAAGGGAACAATTTCTACGTTTTAAAAAACAACGATCCATCAAAATTAAGCTCCACGTCACCCGAGCGTTAATTTTTATTCTACTGCTCGACATAAATTTGTTTAATGGGACAACTGCATTTCAAATTTTTTTGTTAATGTTAAAAGCGTTTCCTTCGCCTGCCCGCCCACCTACAGAGGCATAAAGTTAAATCAATAACCAGACCTCGTAAAAAGCCTGTTTGAACTGCTTAATGGCTTTGGGTGAAACACACACACATGSATTTCAACTTCAACGTTTCAAATAGAAAACTTTTTATTTGCACAACTGTTAAAATATTGGCAGGATTTACAGTTTAGTTTTTAACTAGAAAATGATTGGAGCCTTGACAGGGTAATTCTGAAACAGATGTTGAGTCACGATCTTATCTTGTGACATCACGAGCTACCGTCTTTACAAATCTGATGATGTCCTTTGAACGTGTATGGGGATATAAAGTTTACGGCCCAGCATAAGCACTTATTGACTAAAATATATTTCACAGCACGATGACGAAGCTCAGGCACAATTCTTCCCTTGACTTCTCCTCATGGGGAAGATGTGAGCACAATCAAAACAAAAAACACTGTTTTTTWAATATTTAATGGCTAGGAGGTGTCAAAAAACACACCATGAGAGGCTTTTCTCATGCGACAGGTGAAAAGCACTGCGATCAAATATGCATGAAGAGCAGGTTGTTCATTTAACCTGCTCATTTTTTAATGGGAAATCAAACTACACAACAAAACACAGTTTAAAAACACATCTCTGCCTCTAAAACACACTTTAGAAACGTAAACCTGGAAACTTTACTTCCTCTMATTAAAAATAAATCTGATCCTGAATGACAACTCCTTATTTAATAGTCTCTTATTTAAGATCATAACTTTTGTTATAGGAATGTGTCGCACGCCTCTTTCTAGGAAAAGCTTTATTTTTTTCTAAACAAATCATCACAAAATGTAAACACAAGTTACAGACCCAGGAGTGTCTGTGACATGGCCTGATGAGGGTTTTTATTCTGATTTTTTGTTGTTGATGTGGGTTAAAATATATAATAATAATGTCAAATTTAAATGAAACAAGTCAAACTCATAAATATGTTGTCATTTAGCTGACATGAACTGAAATAATTAATGTAATGTTTTGACCTTAAAATTTGAAACACTTAAGAGCTGATTGATTTAACTGTATTTAAATTGTAAACTAGGGTGCTTTTAAGGCTTTGAATAAAGAAAAAGTGACACTTGATGGCCCCGTTAGAGAGCAGCTAGTAAACTGGTTTAACCGGATATGGTTTAATAAAGAACACTTAACTGACTTCCAGTTTTTCCAAACTCAAATTTAAAGTGAACGAAAAGTTGCAGCAGAGAGTCGCTGATCTCTCCAGAACTTGTGTAGTCTTACCTAATATTTCTTTTCTTCTGGACGTGTGCGGCTGGTCCGTGTAGACCCACTCAAAGTCTACTCTACCTGTCTTCCCCATGGCTCTCCTCTCTCCGTACGAGGCAACTGCCGCCGGACAGGTAGATTTGTGTCATCCAACCTTGCCAGTATCGGTACACACCCTTTAACTCAAGTTAGACCGGGTCTGCCCCATTTATGAGCCGGCGCGGGGCGATGACGAGCCGAGCGGGTCGTTCCTTCCTTTGAGGTGTTCGCTTCCAGCCGGCCCACGTGCCGGTGAAAACTATAGGAGCGAAGCCGCTGAAAAAGATGTACTCGCGAATCACGCCCCCTACTCTTGGAGAGGGCGGGGCTACGTTAAAATGCACCTGCTGATATGGAGTTCAACCTCAGGTGTTTTTCCTTGACTTAGCCTACATCAGAATGATAAGGCTTTTAAAAAATGTCACTTTTGTGTTTTAAGATTAAAATGTTGGCAGCAATTTCTTGTTCCTTAAGATTTGGTGACAAAAAATGTTTTGTTTTGTTTACAGGCTACTTTTATCCATGAATGCTTGTCTGACCTTGTTTAATTTATTGTGTAAATAAATATTTGTCATGGTGATTTGTTTGAATCTTATACATTTTTGATATGGTGATCTCATCTCGGAAATATCCAAATATGTATTCTGCATCATAATGACATTGTGCACAAGTTTCTGTCTGCTCCACAATATTTCTGTTTACAAATCAAATTCAGGCTCTTACTCTGTGAAATTTTACTGAGGTGATGGGTTCTAAGAGTCATTTTTAAACAAAACAAGACCTAATGTACCTTAGGTTAGCTATTTATTTATTTAAAGACAAATCTGTACACAATAAATAACAAAGCACAATCAATAAATGAAAAAGAAATTTTTTTATAACATCTGTCCCGTTTTTTTTCTTTATTTAATGAATTTAAATAATAATACAGGCAGACGTCAGCATTTCTGCATAGAAACATGATGTTATCGTTGTGTAAATGTCTTGAATTGTCTTTTTTCTTTACATTTTGCTTTCAAGAGGTCATCAATACCTCTTCAGTTTTTCTMATAAATTATTTTGTTGTACATTAGCTGCCTTTTACTCATTGTCAATTTAGTTATTTGTTTAAAATAATTCCCAAAAACTATGTTTTAAACCTGGCTTGTTGCCTTTCTTAGGTCATGGAATAGAATAGAATAGAATAGAATAGAATAGAATAGAATAGAATAGAATAGAATAGAATAGAATAGAATAGAATAGTCTTTATTGTCCCGCCGAGGGGAAATTGAGGGGAAAATGTGCTGGATTATATTTTTAAAGACATTTATGTAATACAAAAGCGTTTAATAGTTTTGTTTTTTATTGTTATTGATTGTTTTTTACGTGATTTGGATTTCGAGTCTTCCAAAGAAAGCCAAAAACTTGAAATGGGACGTTGAATCAAAATCTCGCGAGATTTCAAAGGCAGCGCACCGTGGCCACGAGATTTCAGTTGTGAAGAGTTGTTGTCGGGAGAGGGAGGAGAAGAGCRGATCGTAGACAGGGGCAAAGTGTAAAAAAACAGCATTTAGATAGGCGGAAGGAAAAACAAACAAACAAATATCATGGCATCGGGAGATACTCTGTACATAGCGACGGACGGGTCCGACATGCCAGCCGAAATCGTRGAATTGCACGAAATTGAAGTGGAGACGATCGAGACCACAGCTGAGGACGATGAACACCAGCCCATGATCGCCCTACAGCCGCTGGATGATCCCAGCTCCATTCACTCGCACCAAGAGGTGATTCTGGTGCAGACGAGAGAAGAGGTTGTGGGCGACGATGACTCCGAGCTGCACACGGACGACGGTTTTGAGGATCAAATCCTTATCCCGGTGCCGGCCGTGGAAGAGGACTACATCGGGCAGACTCTGGTTACCGTCGCCGGCAGGAGCTCGTCTTCAGGCCGGATAAAGAAGAGCGGAAGCGGGAAAAAAGCGAGCAAAACGAGCTACATGAGCGGAGTAGAAATAGGCCGAAAGTGGGAACAGAAACAGGTCCAGATAAAGACCCTGGAGGGGGAGTTTTCAGTAACTATGTGGGCATCGGGTAAGTTCCTAGTCCTGTCTGTCGCTTTGTTCTACCCGCGGTGTGACTAGGCCCCAGCTGGCGCCTCGTCCTCCACCAAAGTGGGACTATTTCCCCCAACTCCGAGCAACTTGTACTCCGTTCGAAATGTTTTTGTTTTTATGGGAAGCCATGTTTTATGTGTCAATGGGCGCCGCCATATTTCCCCGGTCTAGAAAGTATGGCGGCCCGAAAAAATGGCGTTTATTTGGCCGACGAACATGGCGGCGGCGGTGGGAGCTAGTAGCTTCGCTGGGCCGCTGTGGCGCAGTTTGCAGATAACAACAGAGGCGGCGGTGGTGCCTTCAGGAACCCCCCGGACTTAAGGCTTCTGATGTGTTAATTTTGCTAACTACAACACCTGAAATGATTTCTGTTTTATCTTGGTGGAGAATTAAATCAGTACACGAGTAAAAATGTTATTCATTGAGAAAGCGCTGTATACCGTTGTATATTACTGCTGTTTTCAAACACACATGTATGCACGTAATAATCTCCCACCTGCATGAACGCAACCTCGCTTATTCTTTCACTCCTGTTTTCTGTTAGAGTATATCTCTGACAGTATTTAAAACAATGGGATTATAACTAATAAAGCACTGGGAATGTGTGACTATGTAGCCTTTTGGACATTTCTAACTTTGAGTGTCTCATACAGATGACAAGAAAGACATTGATCATGAAGAGCAAATCACAGAAGAGATTGCCCCTCCAGATTATTCTGAATATATGACTGGAAAGAAACTTCCTCCTGGAGGTATTCCAGGGATCGACCTGTCAGATCCCAAGCAGCTGGCAGAGTTTGCCCGGTAAGAGTTGACACGAACATCAAATGCTGCTTTACAGACTGTCACATTATTAACTAAAAATTAAAAGAGCTTTTACAAATCTTGGTGCACAYTTAGGAGATGTAATGCTGTGCATGTGGCTTAATTTGTGCTGCAGAATGAAGCCAAGAAAAATAAAAGAGGACGATGCGCCCAGAACGATAGCCTGTCCGCACAAAGTGAGTGATGTTTTTGTTTAGTAGCTCAGCTCATACACTTTGTTGCAAACACTAGTTGACAGAATTGTTCTYTTTTTGTCAGCACCATCCTCCTGGCATGTGGTTAATAATTACAAATAAATCATCTTTTGTTGTGTTTTTTTTTAGGGCTGCACTAAGATGTTCAGGGACAACTCGGCGATGAGAAAACATTTGCACACGCACGGACCCCGCGTGCACGTCTGCGCAGAGTGCGGCAAAGCTTTTGTGGAGAGTTCGAAACTGAAAAGACATCAACTTGTGCACACAGGAGAGAAACCTTTCCAGGTGGGTGTAATTTTGCACGGGTGTAATTTTGCACAATTGTCACGCAATGAAAAAAGGATTTTTGTGAGTATTTCACGGCGTGTTATTGATTCGTAGTTTCTGTGTTTCCAGTGCACGTTTGAGGGGTGTGGCAAACGGTTCTCTCTGGACTTTAACTTGCGTACGCACGTGCGTATTCACACTGGGGACCGCCCGTACGTGTGCCCCTTCGATGGCTGCAATAAAAAATTTGCGCAGTCTACCAACCTGAAGTCTCACATACTCACACACGCCAAAGCCAAAAACAACCAGTGAGTTTTCTCCGAGGAGTCCCGAGGGATGTGACTCTGGGTCTGTACTTGGGCCTGTTTTTGTTGTGAGATAAGCCTCTGTGTTTTGTTTCTACATGAAAGATTCAAACTGGAGGGAATAACTTGTTTTTGAGAACACAGGAAAAGTTCAAGTGAAGAACTGGTGACCAGCAGATGGCTCTGCCTGGATGGAACGTTTTACAGTTTCTTCTCAGGAAGACATTTATCCACAAACCCTGCACCTAAAAAAAAAAAAACAGAAACCTATTTATACCTTAACAAAACCACTTAAAGTTTTTGCAATATCAAGTCAAATGTGTATAAATCCTCAGAACCAACTTTTCAATTTTGTAACTTTGAAGTGTGCATATTGTACACTGATTTATGAAGCTTTGTTGTCGCTTATTTCAGACCGTTGTGTGGGTCTAACAGAAAAAAGGTTTCAAAGTTTGTTTTACTTCCCCTTTCCTCTCCTCTGTAGGACTTTTGAGGAGATTCACTGTCAGAATCGTAGATACTAGTCGTGTTTTTCTTTGTTTTGCTCTTTCATTAGTGATGATCAACAATTAAATCATTTTCCAGTCGAACCACAAATACAAAACGTGTCGTTTGTCTTTTCGCTTAGAATTCCATTTAAAATGTTTTTTTTTTTCCTGATAAGGAATTCTAATAGTTTAAAGACTTTGTAAACATTGATGCTAAACTAGTCAACCAGTTTTGAGTTTGCGTCTGCCAGTAAGTTGTTCCTAGATGTAGGCATAAAGTTGTTNCAGCCTACAGTATTTTTACAGTCTTTATTTTACAGTTAAAATATATGTTTATCAAATAAAGTCTAATGTTACAACTAATCGGGGATCCCTTTAAAAACAAAACAGCAATTGGCGACCAAAACAACAACGGACCAGGTACGGACAACGCTATTCGCAAGTAATATGTTCGTAACTACACATTCCTGACAATAAATAGTTTACAATAATTGAAGTTCATACATAATTCAGATAAATGATTCCATTAAGCATATTCTACTTACATGCAAAATGTCAGATTTCTTGCAAACTTTCAAAGAAAATGATGAGTCGAGTTGGGTAAACAAGCGGTAAACTCCAGACAGAAAGTGGGAGGCGGGTCAATTTATCCCATCCCCAACGTGATTGTCTAGTTCTAAGACACAACGGTGAAATGTGGTGCGCTGATTGGCATGAGGTATTGCGTATGTTGGACGAATGAGGAATTTGATTAGARGTCCTATCCAAGATTTATCCAAGATTTACCTCYACTGAGAATTAGCTCAAATGAGCCGCAAACCAAGGGGCATGGCGAAACGTCTGTCAATCATTCTGAACCATGACACACAATACATGAAAATGGGCTGTGAAAAGTTAGCACTGCAGAACGACCCTGGGATCTTACKAGGTGGTTTGGCACCAGTTTTTGTTGTAAATTTCACAGAACAAGATACATTATTTTCAAATTGTGTTTAAGTAGCTATTTCTAAATTGTTTACAATTATATTATAATTATATAATATTGTTTATTTTAACATTTTATTGTGAACACGAGGGAGAGCTTAGCCCTACTAGCCCACTTACAGCAGCCGTCACTGATCATTGAAGATCTGCACATTTCAGGAGTTCCTCTTCTGGACATCAACCAGTGAGTAAAGTCATAAACTCTTAAAGAACAGGATTAATGTTTATAAAAGTCATTAAGATTTTTGGGAAAATCCATTCCAGTGAAAATGAACTATTAAAAAATTCNTGTGTGACGATAGGTTGTTTTTGGGGATTAACGTGACACGCTGAGTGGAAAGTCAGATATAAGAAGGTGCGTCAGAATTTGCAATGGAAATGAGGTATTATCCTGATTCACTGGTCACTCGTCTGTATTCAAGTCTCGTGAAGTGAACCTTCAAGGGCTTTAACTGATACTATTGTTTTATGAAACAATTTTCTTAAATTTATTTGAATAGAACAGAAATGGTGCTGCTGGTAACCAAACGTTTAGGTTTTAAATTTTCCAGACTGAGCTGTGAAATAAATAACAGTAAAGTTTCTGCAGGGATAAAACAAGGACCTCTCAGTGTAGTGTTTTATGACCAAAACAACATTCACACAATATCACGTTTTAATGAAATGAAATTTTTTAATGAATCAATATTAGAAAATGCAGCCGCTCTCACAAAAACACTCATTTGAAATTCTGACTGCAAAAAAATAATAATAAAAACGTGAGTAAAACTGAAGTTTAAACCRCWCATAGTGCATTTTTTTTGTTCATAGCCACGCTAATAAAGGCCACAAAACGATAAAAAGAAAAAGTGATAAAATAAACCTGTTCAACCACATTCATTCCTGTTTTATTTATTTATTAGAACTGAAAGAAGAAAATTGTTCTTCGCTCATCCCTGCCGAAACATTTGGTAAAACATAAACATTAAAGCAAACTAGCGTGTAATCATTGAAGATCTGCGCATTTCAGGAGTTCCTCTTCTGAGCAGCAACCAGTGAGTAAAGTCATAAACTCTTAAAGAACAGGATTAATGTTTATAAAAGTCATGAAGATTTGTGGGAAAATCCATTCCAGTGAAAATGAACTATTAAAAATTCCAAAGAGATGGCATCAAACTGATAAAAGGAATCTGTAAAATCATTTGCTCAAACTAAAATAAGACTGGTGTTTCAGAATAAAAGCAGTGACTCCATTGTTCTGCCTGTTGGCATCAGAAACCTGATCAAGAGTTTGATTTGCTCTCCGAGCAGACATCAGTGTGTTTTTTTTTTGTTTGTTTCCAGTAGGCAGAACTTGTGTTCAGTCCTTTAGGAGCGCAGCCAGCAGCGCGGGGTAGTTAGGTGTCCCCCAGCCTGTCACGGGGTCCCACGATGGGGCTGCACAGAAGCCGTTTCCCTGAACCTTCTCATCCAGACACCCCTGGTGACAACCTTCAGTCACCTGAGGAAGAAAACAAGTGGCCTTTAGGTCATGACTACAAAATGGGCTGAAACAAAGATTTAAAAAACCAATTCAGAAATGCTTTGCGACAAAAAAAGTTTTTATGATTTTATTTGTTTCAGTAGCAACATTAGTGACTTTCTGCAGTGGTAACTTACATCAAACAGACCCTGTTGGAGCTTGTAGAGACGAGGGTTGAAGAAGCCCAGGGCTGGAAGGCCTTTGGAAAAACGCCGGTCATTAATGAGGGAAAGAATGCCTCCAAACACAGGGGTTGATGCCTGGAGGGGGCGAGGGCAGGAATGCATGCAGGTCAAAAAAAGATAACATGGTGCAAATTTTTATAACAATGTTAAGAATGTTATCTCTTAAACATTCACCATACCTACAATGATGTTTTATTTGATCTAAATGTGAAAAAGAAGCTCAGTAGTAAGTAAATTTTCCCAAAGAGTTGTAGCCGACTCATCTCTGCTCTGGAGCAACAAACCCGTTTTGCGGGGTCAGAAAACGTTTGTTTTGTTTAAGCGGTGTCAGCCGTACTTGTTGGACCAGATACTAGAAGAAATATTTTTCACCAGGCAAACCTTTAGGACCAAAGGTGGAGAAAGCTGGACTGTTTGAAATG